AAAAATTCCCGAGAAACAGAATCAAAAGCCTTTCTGATGTCTAATTTGGCACAGAAAATGTTTGCCCCATCTCTTTTACCCGCACTAGAGAGGATATCACTTGCAAGCAAAATATTGTCAGTAGAGACCCTATATTTAACAAAGCCAGCTTGATTGTCTTTAACAATAAAGCCCATGACTGGTTTTAATCTAGCAGCAATAACATTAGCAACAATTTTATACAAAAAATTGCAAAGAGCTATAGGTCTGTAATCCGATATACTTTCAGCATTTTTATGTTTTGGGATTAAAGCAAGAGCCGTTGCTTTAACACCAATCGGCAAATAACCTTTCATGAAAAAAGATCTGATAGCTCTGCAAACGATCGGCCCAAGGATATGCCAACCAGTTTTATAGAAATGAAAATTAAATCCGTCAGGCCCTGGAGCAGAAGTAGAAGACCCTTTAAAAACCGTCATTTTGATTTCATCATCCAGCACAAAATTGGCAATAGAGATGGCATAAGGTTCAAGAACAACATTCCCAATAGGAAAATGCTCCACATCAAGATTGGGGGAAGGAGGAGGGTTATAAAGTTCTTAAAAATACTTCAAAATAGCAGAGATGACATCGGCACGGGAAGAAGAGGAGTTACAGGACAGCAAATTTCCCACCGATTTGTTGCTTCCCCTCCTACAATTAATTTTGGCATAAAGAAATTTGAGGTCATCTTCCCCAAATTTAAGCCAATTAACCTTGGCTCTTTGAATAATCCAAGAGGCTTGAATAGAAGTAAAGTTTGCCAAATTCGCATTACAAAGCTTGTAAGATTGATTAAGATCAGAATTGGTAGGGTCTGCTTGCAATAACTCCAGCAAAGCACTTTTTTGCTATGAAGTGAATCCAAGTGCCTAGCAATGCAATTAGAAGAAGACCAAGATTCTTTTTTGATTTCCTTTTTGAAAAACCTCAGAGAATTACAAAAATGTGAAAGAGGATTCCCATGGCAAGGCTTGGAGAAGACCTCTAAAAACAACGACCAGTAGCTGTCAAACTTAGTCCAAAAATTTTTGAGAGGAATCTATGGTGAACTTGAAATGAAATCCCGGGATGAAGAATAATAGGGCTATGATCTGAGCATGAAGGACTTTAAAAGGAGCAAAAAGAATCCGGGAAGTTACTCAACCAACTCCCATTAATAAGAGCTCTATCCAGTTTTATATGAATGGGAGAATCCAAGCGTTGGTTGAACCACGTAAATTTGCATCCAACAGAATGTAAGTCCACAAGACTATTACGGAAAATAAAATCATTAAAATCCTTGAGAGCAGATTGCAAAATTGGAGTACCTCCCAGCTTTTCAGATGCAAATATGCAACAGTTGAAATCCCCAAAAACAGCCCAAGGCAAATTGCCCACAGGGGCCATTTGTGCAATAGATTTCCACAGATCCTTACGTTCAGAGCTACAATTGGAAGCATAAACAATTGAAATTTGAAAAGTAGATTGATTAGCCACCGAAATCCTACCAGAGATCACCTGAGTAGTGATAAGAGTGGGGGTGAAGTTAATCTTAGAAGCATTCCACTTCACCCAGATCCTCCCCGAATTGGAAAGGTCAAAATTGTGACAGCTAGCCTCATTAACAAAGAGAGAGTGCGAAGATTCAAAAAAAGGATCAAGAAACGACTGAGCATGGATCCTGTTCTCCAAAACACAGATTAAGTCAAGATTAAAAGACTGAATGAGACGCTTACAACATAAGACTTTGTCAGGACGATTAAAACCACGAATGTTCCAAGCTGCCATGGGAGGAACAAACATTGGAAAATCAGATTTAATGGGGTTTTTTGGCCTGCTTTCCCATTGCAGGTTTTTTGGACAAAGAGTTCGACACCTGATTCTTTTCAGGCAATTTTGATACCTTTTCCTTCCCGACAGCACCTAAAGCCGCCAAAGAGACACCTGTAGAGTCATCAAACACAACATTGGGTTCACTAGCAGACCCTTCAGAAATAAGCACATCAAACTTATTGGGAGAGATGAAATTCTTCCCTAAAGTCGGAGAGTGAGAGGTTAAGATGTTTGAAGAAGAAGAGGACATCATTAGGGGAATTAAGATTCGGAATTTCTGGAATTCCTGAAATAATAGCAACACCTAACTCAGGAGGAGCATCCTGAATGGTGTTCACAGTAATTACCCGCGATTTATGAGGAGACGGAGAATGCGGCTGATAGAGAGGTCCAGAGGCATTAGGAATATCCTACAAATATTCCGAGGCTGGGACAGTAGTATTAGTAGTAGGATTCTGGAGGACGGCATTAGTAACTGGAGACTTAGAAGTGTTTTGAGGCCTAGAATGAGGCCTGAAACGCGGCTTTCTGCTATGACTTCTACCCCGATTAGAAGGCAACTCCTTATTTTGAGGATTAGAATCCAAGTTTGGTTTGGACGGACAAGCAGAAGATAAATGCATTAACGACTTACAGTGTTCGCAAGGAAAAGGTCTCCATTCGTATTGAACTTTCAGTGTGACAACGTCTCCATCCAGCGACACTTTGATCTCCTTAGGGTATAATGCATTGCAGTCAACAAGCACACAAACCCGAGCATAAGTAAGTCGCGTCTTCATCTCGGTCAGATTGTCGGCAGCAACCAGAATTCCGATTTTACTGGCGATCCGGGAAATCCCCTCTGAGTTCCAACAGGCGAGGGGAAGATCGTGAATCTTCACCCAAATAGGGACCGTAGCAAAATCCACCCTCTTAGGAACAAACTTCGGGTGCCATTTTTGAAGAACAAAGGGTTTCCCCAAAAGGAACCACACACCTCGCGACCAGACCATGTCGAAATCCTCCACGCAAGAGAAACGAAGGAGAAAAAATCCATCGTTAAGGGAGAGGAGCTGCACAGAGCCTTTTAAGCTCCATGTTCTTTTGATAGCGCCCAGCAAAGCCTCGTAATATGGACGTCTCTCTATAGAGTAACTAACAAGGCAGAGCTTCCAATATTCGCCTCCGTTGGAAAGTTTCTCTCCATAAAAGGGAATGATGTCCGGTTCCGAAGGGAAGTGGGAGAACTTTAGAGATTTTTGAGAAGAGTTATCCGACTCAAAAACTTTGTTCCAACTCTTGGTAGTCTGACAAACCTGAACACCCGAAGACATACCAAGAGGAGGAAAATCAGATGACATTAAAGCAGTGTCCATGAGGAGGAGGAAGAAGATCTCTCCGGCAACGCCGGAGGAAGAAAAGGGGCGGAGAAAACACCAGAAGCAAGGAAGGAGGGAAAGAAGAACCCTAGCCGCCCAAAAAACCTTCCCTTAACAGAGAGGTTTTATTTCTCCATCCCACAAGCCAATCATTGAGCCTTTGACAGTCCGTCATTTGCATGCGACCTAGGAAAAGGGAAAGTTCACAAATTTGTTATAAGGATGTTAGAAAAAAAAACCTAATAAGAGTTAACAACAAGAGGAAAATAGACGTTGGATTTCAGGACATTACCTTTCATCCCAAAATATAAGGCTAACAAAGAATAGTTTGTATATCAGCCTTCCCCAACCCTAACGGGTCAACCACGAATAGAAGATAGGAGATGGAAATTTGGCCATCAATACCTCCCATTTTGAACCTTAAAATCTTGCGAAATAGAAACACATTCATAGCAATGGTATTTACAAACGGACATAGTGGGCAGATGATTTAATGAAATTGTTGATCATGCCATTTAAAAATGGAAAAAGGTATTTAGATATTCATGCTAAAATCCAGTAAACAAAAACTTGTGGAAAACCATTTTCATAATTTATTTTTAGAATGGATTGCCAATTGACATTGTCAAATACATTTTTATGGTTGAACTTTACCCAAAAAAAAAAATTTAATTGATTAAATAAAATAATAAAATTAAAAAAACTTTCATAATTTTAGGAGCTATAATTATAAGCTCGCTCATGGTTAGGTGCAATGATCTCTGCTGCCTCGGTTCCTAATATATGCTAATTGGGGTGAATAATCAGAGCTAGAGCTTCCTCGAATCATTCACTATAACTTGACATATATTTTATAAAACATATTGCACAAAGGAATTAGTCTACAGCCAGCAATTGAGTTGAAGTGGTTCTTTTTGAGAATTAAAGTAATGATGCTATTGTTGACCTTATTTTTGTATGAGGTCTATATTGGATCCTAAAATCAATCCAGATCTCTAATAAATCCAAATCATAAACCAATCTAAACTTCAAACCAATCCTAACCCCAAGCAAATCCAAATCAAATTCAATCAAACCCAGACTCAAATCCTAAGTCCAAAGGCCCTGTCCTAAAGGCCTTTTCTATTGAATTTTCAGATACTTCAAAACCCTGTCAAATAGTCTCTAATTCTGGGTCTGTCAGTTTCCTAATAATGGGACATGTCTCT